AAAAATCCTTAGGCGAGAGAGAGAGAGAAGAGCAACACTTTGAAGGTAAGACACACTGATGTAACATGTCCTGGCTAGTAAGTACATTGCTTCTGCTTTGGGAATGGAAACCAGAAAATTATTTAAATATATACAGATAGTTTTCCACCTGTAGTAGTTTTGCAACATTCAAATTTAGGTGGAAATAAAGGGGTTGGCATATTTGATTTTTATTATTTTTTTTAATATACCGTATTTGCCGGCGTATAAGACGACCCCCTAACATTTCCACTCAAAATACAGAGTTTGTTATATGGTCAGCTGTGTGCGATTTTGCGAGTGTGGTAAAATCGCATAACAGCCGAGCATACACCCAGCAGCGCTGCTGATGCCTGAACGGTATGTGGAATGAAGTGGGCGGGCATCGGGAGGCCACTATGGCACGGGGCAAGCACTATGGGCAGTCTATCTGAAGTGTACCTGGCGTATAAGACGACCCCCCACTTGGAGGCATATTTTTCAGGGCCAAAAAGTCGTCTTATACGCCGGCAAATACGGTATATGGTATACAAAACTGATTAAATTTAAATGGCTATTCAGCTAGCTCACATTCTAGCGGATCAGTTACTGTGGAGATTTCTTTCCATTTTGTCTTGTTAGTTTGTCTGTGTGGCACTAGTGTATAAACTGGAGTCTAGTTGCCATAACAACACATATCTCCTGTATATAACTTCTCCATTCTCCCTTGTGGGCTCTGAATTTTAGAATCGAGCCTTCCGTGTGATATGCCCTTTGACATCTGTGAGCCATTAAACCTTTTGAAGAGGGAGCTTTGCAGATGGTGTTAAGTCTTGTACCAAAAAGTGAGCCATAAGTGAGGTTTGTACCAAAAGTGGTCCTTAGCAGCTCAGAGCTCTGCAGCCATTGTCATGTGCCCCAGCTGGGAGGCTGATGAACAGGTGAGAAAAAGCACAGGGATTCTGTATTGGTAAAACAGTTAAAATTTTGCTTTGCTTTCTAAATGAAGCAGTGCTTGTTTATCCTCCCACCCACCTGCTTTTTTTTTTCTTGTCACAAAGATCATTATAAACTTGACTGTAGGGATTAATCTGGTAGGAACTACATTGGGGACTGAAACTCCACCTAAAACTTTGGGTATGTGATGCAGTGGTTTCTATAGAAATCTACAATGGAAAAATTAACGTGACTCCGTTCTGAAGCCTGCCTTTCCCCACTGACATAAACAGCCATTCTGGGCATTTTGACACCTGTGGCCCAAGTCAGAGACTCTCACAGTGTTGGCCAGCAGTGCTAAGCCGCACTCTGGGTACTTACCATATTTCTCCATGTATAAGAGGCACCTTAATTTTGGGGTCCAAAATTTGAAGAAGAAAAAAATGTACTACATAAAGTTATTGAACTCAAGTTTTATTCATTATAAAATTCATACAACTCCTCATCACTGTCAAAACTCTCAACCAGGGCCGGCCGAGTGGTGCAGTGGTTAAGAGTTGGCTTGGGATGCCAGAGGGCCCCGGTTCGGATCCCACATATGAAGGCCAGTGACACTGCCCTCTACAGCTAAGATGCTGAACAACAGCTCAACTTGGAGCTGGGCTGCCATGAGACGGCGGAGGCTGCAGCCACTGCTGCAGTGGGTTGCCATGGGCTACCGTGTGTAGCCAGCAGCTGCCGTGAGCGGCCATCCAGAAGCCCGCGACTGATCCGCCTCGCCCAGGAAGAGGGAAATGATGGTGCCAACTTGGGCCAGTGAAGCAACGTCCTCCACAAATAGACTGAAGAACAAAACGACAGCAACTCGTCTGTTCCCCTTCCCTAATTCCCCAGAGCTGTTCCTATCCCCACAATTCCCCAATTAAAAAAAAAAATTTGTTTTAAAGTCTTTTAAAGAAAAAAACTCAACCATTAGCTTGTCCTCATCTGTGTCTGATGACAAATCACCCAGTTGTCCTTTGCTCTTCAATCTATATCTTCAATTCCCTCTCTAAATCTGGCCATTTTGCTGACTTGCCTCTCATGGCCTTCTTATGCCATGGCATTTTCAGTAGGGTTTCTTCTTCCCGTAGCCAGTCTCGGATTGTTTTCTCAATTGGAGGAGGACCAAACTTAAGTTCAGCAGCACAATTTCCATGCCCTTTTGCAAACTGGATCACTTTTAACTTGATTTCAGCACTGTACGAAAATCTTTTCTGAACCATTTCTGGGCAGAACGTGGCAAAACGTAACCAACCGTAATATACCGGTGACAAGTGCGAAACAATGAGCACAAAGAACAAGAATAAAAAAGCAGGAAATGCAAGTTAAAAAACTACAACAATGAGCGCAAAAACAAGCGCAAAAAAACACGGGAAATGCAAGTAAAAAAACCTACAATCACTGTATAAGACGCACCCAGTTTTTAGACCCCAAATTTTTCGGGAAAGGGTGCATTTTATACATGGGGAAATATGGTATTTAGGGTAGGGATAGAGGGGTGAGGGGAAACGTATATGGAGGAATACAACCATTCCTTATACCCTCCATCCTGGTTTATTTAGCAGCTATTGTGACATGGGGCTGTGGGGTGTTGGTTTTGTTGACTAAGCAGAAGGAATGCTGAGCTTTTAATCACACTTGATGTTTAATGCTTCTGGAGTAAGGATACAATGCTGACTTAGAAGTTTTAAACATTTCACAACATTTAAGTTTCTGACGATTTATCTGCTTCATTATCTGGAGGGTTATGTGTCCTCATTGCACTTAGACCAAAAAATAATATTTATATCAAAAAGTATTTCTGTGGTGGCAAGAAAGGAAAAATACTAATACAGTAAGTAGTCTGGGCTATTACCTCTATGGTGGGCATGGGGAAAGAGGTGAAACCAGCAGATAATTGTTCATTGGGACAAAAAGCAGATGGTAAAGTTCATTGTGAATTTGACTACAGTGCTTTTTAAATGAGCCCCATTTACTAGATTACATTCCCCTTGGATCCTCCAAGCCCTAATTCCAAAGCTAGTCCATGTGGAGCTCGCAGGCTCATTGAGTTTGTTTGGCTTGTGGTGAGTTAAAATGGAATTGTCAGCATGTTCAGAAATTGAGAGATGGCCAGAAACCAGGATTTGTGACTTCTTTAGGAAATGGAATCTCAGGAAACGTGGAAGTTGTTGCTGAGCTCAGGGAAATGCGCCTTAGACCTGTCCTGTGGGCTGCCCCCATCTTTCCACTAGTTACCCCTGTTACACCTGCCCACTTTATTCCTGTACTGACTCTGGCAGCTACAAACATAAGATATGTAAGTTATTCAGTATTCTCTGCAGTCAAGTTTTAGTGTATTTTGAGGTCTTTTTGAACTCTGTTTGCCCAGTGGTAAGTTACCAGAAGGAAGGAAGCTTTTATCAGAAATATGTCAAAGCTAGAGTCACAGATATGATAAAATGAAGTATCTCTGACCTTGAAGCTTTGTCTTTGTTTGTAGAGAGCTCATAAATGGGCATAGAAAAGTTAAGCCAAACAAGCAAATATTTCATAGGAGTCATCAAGAATTCATTTGGGTGACGTGTTTAGGTTGAGATGTCAGGGACTGTTAAGTATATTGTGATCTTACTAATACCTAATGTTAAAAATCAAGCTCTGGTGACAGAACTTGAAGCTTATTTCTTAGAGGAAAGCCATTGCTACAGGGCAAACTCTGGTTTTTGCAATTTAAAGTTTTTGTGCTAACAGGAAGGGGGTACGGTTACTGGCAGCTTTTAAGATACAGAGAAGTAATTCATGCATTTTTAGTGAATATATTTAATCTTTTTATACCTGATTAGATCAGTTTATCTAGTTTCAAAAGTTAAGTTCATCAGTCCTTGGTCTTGAACTTTATTTTGAAGAAAAGAATCCAAAGTGAAATTTTAAGGGAAAATAATCTCAGCATTCCATTCTCTCATCCTCTTGACCTGCTGTCTTCGAGTTCTCTCTGTTCAATAATCTAGAGTGTTAGGACAACTTTACTTTAGCACTGGCTCATGGTTTAAGGAGGGGTGGGGTGGGAATACATGAGGTGTTTATTCATACAGTTTCATGTCTTGTTTGGGTCAGACCTTGAGATTGATCATCAGCTTGTCTGTTTTAAGAATTAGGAAATTGATCATTTTATTGGGTCGTTGGGAAAGTCATGAGGTATTTTTCTATCTTTTTCAGTGCAAAATGCATCATGACTTTCCCGACAACCCAGTAAATTTAGCATGAAAACAGTTTTAACTACTTTTTCCTAACAGTCCAGTTCTTCCAAAAATTCTTTCTAAACTGGCAAAAATGGAGTTGCATATTCTCTGAATGTCTAACTCACAAAATCTGTTACTTTTGCTTCCAGGGCAGTGCTCACACTTGTCCCTTATGTGTAACCATAATGGGATTCTACCAATTAAGACCATTTTAGTTTTACAATTCATCTCTTGTGTCTAGATTTTTTACTCTCCTTGAAAACAGTTTCTGAATATAAATAGGTCCACTCTTGAACTGGATTTTTCTTATCTTTTCATCCAGGATCCCACACCACATGACTGTTCTCTGTGCCTTCTCTCTGTTTTCCTAGCCTCTAACTTTCAGATATATGTATGGTATGTATGGTCTGGTTAATAATGCCTCTTGAATGTTCTTTGTAGTTTGGGCATTTATGTAAGATGTTCAAGATTTCTTCCTATCTGGTTCAAGCCTTCTTAGTACAGTTTTTCAAGTATGTATTTGGTTAAGTATGTTTTTCTTGTGGCATAAAACAAGTAATGTACATGATATTAGTATCCTAGTTGCTTTGTTCAGATTGCAGCAATACTTTGGACCCATTCATGTGTTTAAGAGTAGATTTTCCCTAAGTTTCAAATAAACTTAGATTCTTAGATTTATTTCAGCTGATTTTGTTCTAAATGATCTTGTATAGACTGCTTTTTAATTACTAGCTCCCATTTTTGGAAAGATATTTTTTAGGACTAAAATGAATTTGAGACTAATAGCCAAAAACAACTGTATTTCAGCTGAGATCTGTATCTGTGGACCTGAATGTTGATCCCTCGCTTCAGATTGACATACCTGATGCACTCAGTGAGAGAGATAAGGTCAAATTTACAGTACACACCAAGGTAAGTGACAGTACGACTTGACTTCAGTAATAAAAACTGGTCGGTTGCAGCCTTGGCTGTGAGAAGAGATTTCCTGAACTGAAATGGTTGCCATTTGTTTGCAGTGTAGCACCATTGCTAAATGAGCACCTCCCTTAATCTTGCTTGTTTGTAGTGAGCCTCAGATAAGTTCTCTTGCTGCAGGATTTTCCACTATGGTGGAGCCTTAGGGCTGTGGGTATTGCTGCTGTTAAAACCACGCAAAGTGATGGCAGGTGGAGCCAACTAAACCTACACAGCTGAAGTCTTCCACTTTGTTTGTTTTAATTTGACTGCATGGGAATTGCTTGCTTTCCCATGTTTACTAAGTTCGTGGCTTTTTGCCCCACTTATTTCTTGTGATTAAAAAGACTTTTTTTTCCTTCTCCACATTTTTTATTGGACAAAAGCAATATGCCAATCTGGAATATGTAGAAAGTAAGTTTAGTTTCTTAGAATTAGTCCTTTCACAAGCATTTTCAGTCTCATTTTTCCTTCCATACCAGTTAAAAGGTATTTGAGTGCTTGTCTTATGCCAGGCACTGTTGTAAAGGGTTTACATGGATTTAATTTTCTTTTTTATAACAAACTTATAGTGTTTTATTATCCCTGTTTTATAGGTGAGGAAACTGAGGCACAGGTTTAAATAAAGCAAATGTCCTCTATAAGGTCCTCTCCCACATGGTTTTCTCTTAAAATGTTGGTGGCTTGATTAGCATACCTCAGTTATTCAGGAGGCAGTGTGAAAACTACATAATAATACCTGCCTGAGTTGACCTGAAAGGTGGAATTTTGTGGAAAGAATTCTTTAAAGAATATGTTGAATCTTGGCTATGACTTTTTATAGTGATGGGGAGATCATGTGTTGCTGCTTTTTGTTCTTTACTGGATCTCATTGTGATGTTTTATTATGTAGAATTTTCCCATAGTGCAGCCCAGGAAACTCAAACCACTTTATCTAAAAGTTAACTTTTCTTTACAGACCACGCTGCCCACGTTTCAGAGCCCAGAGTTCTCTGTTACAAGGCAACATGAAGACTTTGTATGGCTACATGACACTCTTACTGAAACTGCAGACTATGCTGGGCTTATTGTAAGTCATTTTGGAAAATCAAATGGTTACTGAAGCCAGTTTCTTCTACCTTTCGGTTCATTTTGTTTTGTATGAAGAGACTTTTACCCACTTTTCATAATGGATTATGAAAATAGTCTGATTTCATCTTCCAACTAGAATATGTGCTAACCATTACTATTAGTCTAAAATAATATGAGACTAGTGTTAACAGTTATGAATGAAATGAAGCATACAGTCTTACATTTTGTACGATATAAGGAACAAAGGTATATAAGGGTAAATGGTTTCATGATTTAACTCTTACCTACCTCTGGGTTTGGTGTTCCTGGCATTTTTCTTTAGACATTAAGTAGAATTGATTTTTAGGAAAACCTCAGTATTGGTGATGGTATGCACTACATTTCTCAAAAGGGTTTTAGTCTGCTCAAAGAGTAAAAGATGCGGTTATCTTCGTGCTCAGCTTTTGAGAGTTAATGCATGGCTGAAGAGTCTTAGCTGATTTTAAAAGAGAATTAAGTGGCTTGTCTTGCCAGGCCGACTGAAGGATCTGGCCAGATAATTAAACAAAATTAGTAATGAAGCTTGTGTTTAACCCTCCGTCGGGTGCAACTGATCTCACAGATTCATTGCACCACAAGCATGCCACTATGAAATACGTCTTTACTGTACTATGTCACAAACACGACTGGCGATAAGTTACAGTAGAGGAGGATATGGAAGCAATGAGTCATGATACTTAACTGTTAGATATTTGAAAATTTGTGTGCAATGAATCAGATCAGTTGAGCCCGACAGAGGGTTAAGAATGTTCTCTTAGGGCCGGCCGAGTGGCTCAGTTGGTTAAGAGCTCGCTCAAGAATTTGAGCTCTGAGCAACAGCAGTTCGAGTCCCTGCCTGAGCTGAGCAGCCGCTGAGCTGCCAACAGGTGGCAGGATGGCTCAGCTTAAAAAACAAAACAAAACAAAAAAGAATGTTCTCTTCACTCAAAATTAGCATCTTTTGGTTATCCTATGGAATTAAAAATTCCTTTTTGAAGTCTAGAGACTATAATCTTGATGGTTCTTCATCAACTTTATTTTAGCACTGATTGTAATATAAAAACTTTATAAACTGGCATTGAAGCAGGATAAACACTGTTGTACCCTCCCTACCAATTGTCCATAATGGGTAAATTGAACAAATGATTACATCCAGTTGTGGACAGGGCACTTCTTTTAAATGTCCAAAAGGAATAAGGTTAAGAGAAAAACAGGTTAACCAACAGAGCTGGCTGCCTCTTGTGCATAGCCCCCAACTGGAATATCACTGCCGATATAAGTGCTCACAAGTTACCTGTCTCTGCTGCAGATTCCACCTGCTCCTACAAAGCCTGACTTTGATGGCCCTCGAGAGAAGATGCAGAAACTGGGAGAGGGTGAAGGGTCTATGACCAAAGAAGAATTTGCCAAGATGAAGCAAGAGCTGGAAGCGTAAGTGGGCCTTCTTGCTTGGGCTCTATCTTTTGAGATACAGAAATAAGAACCTGATAACTAATTTAATTTTTTTTTTAAGTATGGTAGTTAGTTAGTTGCCTAGTGCTGTCTTCTACAACTACATTTTGCAGAGTGTGGGGCACAGTCTTTGAACTTTATGCCTTGACTTCCTGGGGGCCATTAACACTGGATAGATTAGTTGTTTTCCCCTGTGTAGACCATGCTTGTTGTGGGATGCCGGTCTGGCATAGTGAAGTAAACCTTTGTGTCTTTATATATAAAGAATTCTTCAGGCTGCTGATAAATGTACAAAGCTTTCTTCCTTGAAGTTTAATTACAAGAAATAAAGTTGAAACTAGATTCCTGTGAATACTGTTACAAAGAAGCATTATGAATAATAACCACATTGATGGCTTGAAAGAAGCCCAGGTCCTTAGGAAGTGTATTATTTCAAGCAAAGTGGGTTCTTTATTGCATTAAAGTTTCTTATGAAACCATTCTTATACTACTCTGTCTGGACTCCTTCCCCTCTTCCACTATCAATGTATTGGAATTCAGGTGCTCATTTCAGCAGTTCTCTTCAGTGCTCTGCCCCAAGCCCCTACTATCTAGGCCCGAGCTCAAGTACCTCCCGGTCCTGAATCATTCAGCACACACTTGACTGCCTGTCATGACCAGCTCTGCGGATAAAGCACCGAACACAACTGAACAGTTTCTACCATTGAGAAGTTTACAGTGATCTTTAATGTACAGATTGAGATAAAGCTGCTTTATAATTTCTGATAATTCCAAGCCTTATTAGAGTCAATGCTGTGCACATAGCTGCAGAATTAAAGGGTTTTCATTGTTTTAAAGAAAACGACTGGCCTGCCTAGTGGCTCAGTTGGTTAAGAGTGCGAGCTCTGAGCCGGGTCACTGGTTCAATTCCAACATGGGCCAGTGAGCTGCGCCCAAGCTGAGGTGCCAACAGGTAGCAGGATGGCTCAGCTGAGGAAAAAAAAAAAAAGACTTTTTTTTCCTTCTCCACATTTTTTAT